TAAACCTAAATTAAATTATAATTAAAAATTTTGAATTAAGAAAATTACACCAAAATACAAGAATTTTTAAAAAGATTAATTTGATACTGATATCGATATATTTTTTCTTTAAAATTTTATGATATTTTCAAATTTATATTTTATTCAAAAATAAAAACGTTATCGTTTTCTCAAAACCACATAAAACCGTATTATATCGACATAAAAAATGAATAAAACGAAACAGATGTGTCTCGATGCATTGCACGAGTACCCGTCTTTTTTTTTTTTGAAAGACAAAAAGGAAGGACAAGGAAGAGAGCTACGACATGGCCATCACCCTTACCAAGCCAACCAATATATAAACAAAAGATCCAACAAGAAGTTAGAAGCATGAAATACAAAATCCACCACAACAAGCGAGAAAAAAAGAGAAACAAAATCGAAACAGCCCCAGACAGAGACCGAGGCAAAACCCAAACCCAAGACAGGAAAAAAGATTAAACAAAATGAGGAGAGGAAGACCAACTATCCCAATTAAAATGGAACTTACGATTCATGTTCCTCATCCATAGCTTGGATAAATTCTGAACACAAGGGAATGGATCTTCACCTTTTCTTCTTAATTTTCGCTCCATCCTCGGCATGAAAAATTTCATTCCGCCACTTCCAAAGTTGCCAAAGAGCTACAGCGCAAACTGATAAGAAAGTCACTCCAACCTTGCGATGAGTTCCTATTTGTTTGATCAGCATTTTAAAATCAACCACCGAGGAAAGACGCGAAGCTTTAAGATCCCACCAGACCCAAATTTTTCTCCAAAGAATGCTTGCCACCGAAAAAGAAAATAAAACATGATCCATTGTTTCAACACCTTTATCACACAGGATGCACGCCACATATTGTAACTGAATTCCTCTCTTTGAGAGATTAAATCTTACGGGAATAGCCTTTTTAAGGAAGCACCAAGTGAAAATGTTTACCTTCTTCGGAATTAAAGGACTCCAAAAACAAGGATCATTGCTTCCAACATTTGAATCAACCGCCCCTTGAATTAACTTTGACATGTGATTGACCGAGAAAATCTTTTTCTTGTCCCAATTCCAAGACCACACGTCCTCACCCCGAAGTATTAAAAGACTCTTGAGAGAGTTGTCTTTCTAAAACCCTTCTAGTATTAATAATATAGAGTAAAAGCGACGGGCTCCCATACTTCCAGACGCGAATGATCCTCGCCTCAATCTCATATGCTACCATATTCGGTAGAGGCGTACCCAGAATTTTAATTTAGGTTGGGAACTTGGAACTTCAAATTTAGTTTGCCGATTGAAGTTATTTAAACAAGAGGTTAATGTGGGATATGTGATTAATGTTGGTTCTCTTAAGTTTCATCAGATTTTAATTTAAGTGTTTAGATTAAAAAAAGCCAAAAAAAAACCATGAATATTTTGACTTTTTTTATTCATTAGATAAACATTTTATATTATAGTATTAACTGACCTTAAAAACATATTTTATCATTAAGTGACCCATTACTTCATGAATTTATTAATGCTAGAAGGGTACTCACGCAATGCAGCAAGATCTATTTGATTTTAATGTTTCATTATATATTTTCGGTCTATCGATATTATAATACTATTTTATGTGATTTTGAGAAAAATAAAATGTTTTCATTTTTGAATGAAAT